TTAATGAAAGCTAAATGCTCGTGCTCTGTAGCTCATTGTTTGGAATCGGGGGCGCGGAGTGAATGACGAACATCCTCGGGCGTAATGCGTATGCAGATGTCGAGATATATTCGGGTCGCGACTTAAGAGAGATCCACGATATTCTTTCTCTCAAGACTCTTTATGCTCTATCTTATACACAGATGTAGAAAAATATTTTTGCGACTCCGGAAAAGATCATTTTTTTGTAATAATATTATAATAATACTGACATTTTTGTAACACAATATTTGAGTATTTATTGGCGATAAAATGACAAATTGAAAATGTTTTTAAAAACGTGGAGAGGAGCAAGTGACATCTATATATAGATATTTAGATTCCGTTAGAATCGCGTTATTCAATTTAATTCTGAGATGCAGATAAAGAATGATAAAGTTTCAACGATGAAGGGCCGAAGGATAAAAATAAAAAAGAGAAATTAAGGGGAGCGAACACCAGAGATTTCGAAGAGAACTTTCGAATAATTTTCCAACTTATTAACTTATTACATCTCTGGGTGTCGTTTATTATCTCTTTTTTTTTTTAACATGTGTGAATGTTACAAATGTACTTGAATACATGAACTAATTGCGCTCTGCGCATAATTTTGTAGAGCGCCGCAAATCACGGAATCGTCCCTGATTTCGAGGGACGCTCTCAGCGCGCATTTAGCACTGAATGCCACTGTTGTTCGAATTCCCGTGTATTTCTGCACGATGTACGAGGTACAGAGGCAGTTATGTAAAATAATTTTACGGTTACGCGGGAGAGAAAAGCAGTATTTATTATTTCGACGCGAGTATATTATTTGCCGCGTTAATTAACAACTCGACGCTTGAATGCCGCGCCGTTTGTAGATTGCATCTGCATTTTCCTTTGGGCTTGCAGAGCTCGCGTGTGGACGCTGATCTCCGTATTTTCCATTCGATCTCATGTTTGTGACCGTTTGTTATCGCGCGGATAATGCGAGTTAATTGGCAGATAAGACCTCCGTCTTCTGCTCTGATAGCAGCGTGTGTCCCAACTCGCGCGTGTGATTTGCGTTAAATCGGCGCGACAGCGGACAGACGAACGAACGAATGAGCGAATAACGCGCCAAGATTCGAGCCTTCGTATCGCGAGGTATCGCCCGACTCGCGAGACTCGGATAAAAACATTATTCGCATGCAGCGCGCGTTTCGCTGGCTTGCGCCGCGCGTTCAGTGCCACGCGTTGCATCCGCGGAAAACGTATCGTCCGTCTGTCCGCTCGTGAAGACAAAAGACACGGGAAAGAAAGAAAAAAACAAAGAGAGAGAGAGAGAGAGAGAGAGAGCGAGCGGACGCGTGCATTATCGCGCAACGGGATCAGGTACGATCGCCACGATCGTCTTCCTGCGACGCCGGAAGATCCGGACACCGAATGCGGACGCCGTGAATCGTGATTCCGGCCGCGTCGAGGCGGCCGAGCGTCGTCGCGTTTAATAGAGCGGGCCGAGGAACGTGACCCGATGATACGCTACTACTGTTACGATACGGCTACTGTTACTACGTGCGCGAACGCGACAATGAAGCGGACGAGGCTTCCTCCCCTCCGTCAACGATACCGAGGGATATGAATGATGATATCTGCGCGACGACGGCGCGTTCGGGTAGGCGTTCAAGGGCGCCGGAAGTCGGAACTCCGCCCGTCGGAAGAGGAGCGCACCCGCGAATCGACGGACTTTCGGCTCTTCCGGCGTATATTTTTAGCGTCTACGTACACAGCCGAGATATGTGCGGTCCACGATAAAGTCGCGTATCGTAGCGTTAGGGTTAACTGCCGTTGCTCGTGGCGAGTAACTGGGTCGGTCGGACTGGTGAACGGATAACAAGCATCACGCCATTGAGGAGATATCATCCCGTTAATGGCCTCGCGGTGTTAATAAATGCTCCGTTAATCCCGACGAAGCTCCGTGAAAAAGATAGTCCGTGCTGGATGGTGTTGCGTAAGATCGAATCGCTTCCGCATTTTTCTCTCCTTGCGCTTCTCCTTGCGTGTCGGTAGGAACGCTGCGAAGGAAATTAATTGAAGCCTCCCGCCTTTTATCCGCATCGATCAGGATTAATTGAATTAAATGATTTTCCCTCGAACGAATCGAATCTCCCGAGTCTTGAATAAATTCTGATACGGCGACTTATTTTGCAAGATTTCGCAAGTCCGTACACTTTTTATGAAACATCGTCAGTGATATGCGCGGATCAAGGCGAGCGATACGATAAATCGGTAAATAATCGCGAGAAATGTTTCTCTGCGTTATGAATGCGGATTTTAGCGACCAAAACTGAGGATCGTTGATACGTATGTGTTTCGTCGCGTGTCGTTGGTGCAACGTGATTTCGCGGCGACACCATTACGCTGCATGAATAAAAAGGCCGGTGTTACGCGATCGAAGGAGAAGGTTTTTCCGGCACGCCTCGACTTCCCTCGTCCGTTCCTGAACGTGCACCGTTGGATCTTTCATCGACGGTTTTACGAGTGGCGCTCCGATCCGATTAGTTCCCGCGCTTAAAACAAGCTCTTTCTCTCTCTCTCTCTCTCTCTCTCTCTCTCTCTCTCTCTTTGATTGCGATTAGTACTATTCTCGTACATGACGCACGTCAACGTTTTAACTGCACTCAACGAGATTCGACGTGATGATTATAGCTTGCCATTTCCCTGGCGTAGTTTGCAACGGAAGATATAGGTCAAAAGCAGAAGCTTTTCCAGAAAAAGAGAGGGAGAGAGAGAGAGAGAGAGAGAGAGAGAGAGAGAGGGAGAGAGAGAGAGAAGCGGAATCGCCGCAGCTCTTTGGCTATCGTGTCCTTGAACATTGTTAAAATTAGCGCTTCTACGTTACAATTTCCTATGGCGCGATGGCGCGAGGTATCATCGTCCGTTTCGAATGTTTACATTAATTTTAGATATTAACGAGCAACACCACAAGTTCCGCGGATAGTTCTTGACGTCACTTCATGGGCGAACGATAAGAGAATGGGGTAATGGCAGAACTAGGTCAGATCTAGAACTGCGCCGAAATCGTCGTGAAATGTAGATCAAGAATGTCCTCGAAGAACGCCGGCGTCGGCGTGCCAAAGATATTTACATCAAATTCGTTGCATTCCACCGAAAAACAATGAAACTGAGCGAAATTTAAATCACTCGAATTCGAAAAACTACGTTAATAAAGCCATCGACCGAGAAATTAATATTCCAGATTATCATTAGCTGCTCCTTCTGATTTCTTTTTTATTATTATGTATCACATATTTTCATAATAATTTTAAGTAATATTTTTTCATTATATTTCTTATATATAATATTCTTGATGTTGTATTAATTTTTATTTGTTATTCTAGCAACGCTGTTGCAACAATCTCTGCCGCACGTGTATGTTTATTAATGGCCTTTGCTATCAAGATTTTTTTCGCATTAGTCATAGGCGATTCTATTTAAAGAGATAACAATTCTCACAAGAGAGATACCGAAGATGAGAAAATACGATGTGTTGTCGGAATAAATTCTTCGGGAAAAAATGCGGTTGTCAAACGATTAACGCGTTGAGGTTTCTTTCCAACTCGGAACGCGCTCAATCTGCATGCATTAAGCCGCGCGAAGTTAATTTGTGATTACGGCGGTAACGGTACGAAAAATCTTGTGGGAGGCGAATTTGTAGGCTGACCGTTCATTAGATAATCATGGCCTACATTCTTGGAACATCTGATAACGCAGGCTCATAAAGCGAGCGTCTCAGTCGTATGAAAAATGTGATACGGTTCGTATACGTTCCAACCTCCGTCCTATCGCGAATAACGCTCGTTTATGCGTGACTCTTGGGTGTGAGGTGTACCTAACCGTGACCCCAATTGATAGAAGGTATGACGTGTTTCGCGACACCCACGAACTTCCTCCTCTTCAGTTTTTTTTGAATAAAATTGGCCTGGTCTTTATTAGACCATCGTTATAACGAGTGTTTGTTTTACATAAAACTTTTATATAAAATTGAAGGAAATATCTGAGGAGGTGTGGCAGTGGTTTTGAATTTTGATTAGATCGAGTGGACAGAAGAAAAAATTCATTCACTTTAAATGTAACTTTCTCAACGAAATTCTACTAATTTTGATAAACGCTTCTGTAATTTATCTACATTTATGGTTAGTTTCATTACGTACGAAAACAATTTTTCTCTATAATCTCGTTCTGCCTTTGTCGCATTGTTATTAAAGGATTCATTTAAATCGCGTGGCTTAATTTCTTTCTTTCGTACCATCGGATGTTCGAAACAGAATGTATAAATTACAAACTTTTATGACTTACAATTAGCGTAGTCGCACAAATGTTGTTTGAAAAGGAGATTCTATTTTACATGGCAATAATTTTGGTTATACGATTAAGATAAATAGGATTGAAGTGAAGGCAACGCTGTAAGCGACTCAGAATCCTTTGCAAGACTAAACGTAACCATTATAACTGCACAACATAATAATAGCTCTGTTTTCCATTCGGATCGACGAGTGGGAATGAAAACACTTAAGAACACTATTGAAATCATTTAAAACCGCCCGATGTATTTAATTCGACGTGATAATGTTTCTGTTTCGTACATACAAGAATTAATAGAACTAAATCCTTCCAGCGGCGATCGTACACACTTTTGGTTTATTTAGCAAAAACTCTAAATCATTAGACAGGCCACGTGCTCCCCTACAGAAACATCAAACTACAGATATCGCTTATTCAGCTTCACTGCAACGTACTTGGCGATGTTGGTTTCTTCCTTATTTGCAGGCTCACATAACTCACACTCTCACTTGTACGCATACTTCCGTAGAGAATATATCTTTACATATCGTACAATTTATTTGAACTCGACAATACTCCAAAATATGAAAGTCTCATTCGTCTCCTCTCGGACTCTCTCGCTCTTATCGAACATATCTGTGTCATTCTGCTTGCATTATTAAGTCTAATATTTATCGCAGGTGAAGATCCAATGCTCAGCGACCAACAACAGTACCGATACATGACTGTTGATGACATGAAGTCCATGGGGGATGACTCGATGCGCGTGAATGTGACGGACGACGAGAGAGATAATCGACATTCCGGAGGTAAGTAAAACATATAGTTGGATCCCCACGTACGTTTCGCCAGATATCGGAGTAATATCATCAAGTCAAGTTATCTATGCTTTCGAATCTTTTGCATTAGGTATTGGTGATTTTGCTAAAAATTAGATTTGGAATTTATTCCACATTTACGTATTCTCTCTGTCGCGATTATTATTTTTTAAGCGAGTTTATCTATCTTATCCATTGTTTATACAATTCTATTGATAATTCGATAATTTTGCTATATTGATAGATTATACACGAGGAACGCGAGATAGTAGCTGTATGTTTTGTAGCACTTAATATTCCGCTACGTATCGCAGAACCGAACGTTCGATTATTCTGCACATTGCGTTAATCAGATTAGCTCATCCTCGGAAAATAAATTTAACGTGCATGGCAATGTGTTTTCTAGCGCCAACCATAACAGAGATGATTACGAAAGAACATTATCAACGTACGAACGCGGCCAATCTTAAACCAGACAATGTAGACATCAACAGGCATCCTGTGCATGTCGGGTATGTACAATATAATATTTTACATCTACTTTCTTCTATCTCATTTTAGCATTATTAATTAAAATTAAAATAAAGAATATTTAAAATGACGAAATTTCATTATTGATTATACGATCTATTTCGGAATTTTATTTAAATTCTGCAATATAAGCCCAAAAAAGATACATTTTTCGCATTGTATTGAAAAGTTGTGCAACAAATTTTACTGTAAATATTATTGCATTTCAAGTTTTTAATACTCGATTAAACCATAATAACAATGTAGCATATAAAGGATTTTTTTAAGTGTTCATGATCGTAATAATTTTTTTCTGATTTAACCTCAGAGGAAATGTTATTTCCTTCTATTGATAATTAAGACAAAAAAACATTAATCAGCAAGATAAAATTATAATTGCATGGTGTGACGTAATATAAGCGTATATAATATTAAAATTATATAACATTACGACATGCTCAAAATTCGACGCATGTTACTGATGATCTAATATTTACGGATTTGAATTTATTCAACAGTGAGAAAAGTGTCTTGCATATATGTAAAATTAAAAACTTTATTAATGTATATACGAAGCAACTTGGAATGATTATTATTGTTGTACGAAAATCATCGTTTATTACAGTCTCGAGTATAAATAAATAGAATATTTTGTTCTCTTATTCGGTTTAAGAGATTTAAGAGATTTTAGAGATCAGGCTTTAATATTTTCAACGTAATATAATAAGAAAATAGTTTCTTGATATTAATTTGACGTCAAAATTTCGCTCAGTTTTACACGCACCAATCTTTTTCTATTGTAAATTATAGGGATTTTAAATTTTAGGTGAGATAAAAGTGTTATCTAATCTAATATTACGGGAAATGCAATCCACGATATATTACGCGGCCTTGTAGTTCGATATACATATCGCGATCGATGCTGTATTGATACTACGAAACAATAATGATGTGTATTATAGTATGATGTAGTTTGTGTGTTGGTGAAAGTTTTCTGCTGTGATTAACCCTACAGATGGATTGGCCACCTAATGAATTACTCCTTACTTTAATTTGATCATCTTAATTTCTGATTGGTAACAGAACAGATTTTATATAATTACAAGCAATATGGTGGTCGATAATTTTCTTTATTCTTATTTTATTTTAGATATTGTTTCTTCAATCGAGATTATTTATTATTATTGTTGATAAAACCGTAAATGAAACATTATAGAATGAACGTGTTTGTAAAATATTAATATGTGAAATATTAAATTGAAAAAAATATTGAAAGAATAAAATTATGCATTTTGCGAATCTGGATGAAAATATACACATGATTGTACATAAGTTTCACAACATAAATGATTTCACATTTATTTTCATGTTGAGCCTAAAGATTTATATCGCTGTTATCAACGCGCGACCGTTGATAACTTGTCTGTGCCTAATGTCCATATGTCATAATAGATGATATTTTATTCAAATCGTGTGCAATATTTGCCTACTTCAAGTCTGTATTAGGTTTAGCATACATATTGTGGTATACATTAACTTAGAATTATTTTAGAAAATACTTTTTCGATGTAAATGTGTCCGATATAGAAAGAAAAGTAATGTGCCACATGTATGAAAATTTAGCTTAAATATTTCAATTCTCACGAAATATATACTCTCGTTCGCTTATTTCTTAATATATACATATGTATATAAGTTAACTTGATTACTGTGAGACATAATCATATAAGATTGTAACACAACGTAACAAACGTAGTATCGAAACACGTGATAGTATACTGTTCATAATGAATTTTTGGTGCTACCATTTGTGTTTTATACTTAACATTCGTGACAGGATTTGCGATAATTTACAGTCATTCAACCAGCTCAACAAGAACGCTTGATATTCTGGTTACAGCCTGCTTGTTTGTAGCGAAGTTCGATTACTTAGTGTTTAGCATGCTGTTTTTCACATTTCACTTGGACGAACGATTCTTTGATCAATCTACTTTCGTTTATCACTGGCAATTTGTACTAACCGCTCGGCTGATTTGGACAGAGTGAAGAATATCCGCAATGATGAAAATTTTACCTCTTACGTAGAAAATCTTGATCGTTGTTTCGCCTATCTGTTTAACAATGATGCAACATTCTTGATCGAATTATTTCTGCACGTGACACTATATATTCAAAAGAAAAGCACAGGGCACTTCTGTAATGACTAAAAATGAATGCAATGACAACAGAAAAGAGTGCTACTTATATGAGCGAGATAGCATGAGCATGATAAGCAAGATTATTATTCGGATAATCAAACTCGGTTTTATTTTGAGAATAGCGAGTCCCTAGAGTCCCTATGCACCTCGCTGGCAGCTCTCAGTACCGCACCGAAGGGACAAGGGATGTGGAGGGACAGGTACACCATCCTTTACGTTATCTTCCCTTTCCTGCCGAATTTGATAAACGAGTCTTCTTGTTTTATGAATTTTTTTGCGTAATGACAAATTGTTATTATTACTAGTGACAATAAATATATTAATAATATCTGTAAAAAAGAAAATTATATTGGTTATTTAATAAAAGTAATGGTATACAGTTGTAGTGATTTGCCCAAAAATGAATGACAGGATATTAAGTATGTTAATTATAAAAAAAAAAGAATCGTTCTTCCAACAAATTGTTAAATAGTAGAAAGTAGAAAGAAGATTTCAACGTTGCAATAGCTGCTGCTGGATGTTTTTCTCTTGTATAATTATTTTAAGTTAAATTATTTCGCGCGGATTACGCGCAACGGAATCTGTTGCGTTAATTAGTTTGCTAATAATTTTGAAGAGATGCAGTTTAAGTGGACAGTCGAATTCTCGTGTACAGTCGAGGACGATCACAACAGATTTCGGAGCGTCATTATTTTAAGTTTCTTTCCTCGAAGTACGTGTCTTCTTTTCGCAGAGTGTGAGTGTGTTACGTTTTTCTCTCTACTATAATACATAATTATTATTGTTATTTCTTGTTTCGTAGTCGTGTACAATAGAAAAGTGGCTTGCGTGTGATGAGTGCACTTTACGAAGTGATCAGCGACAATCATTATTATCATCATCATTATCATCATCATCATCATCATCATCATTATTATTATTATTATTATTATTATCATAAACAGGAGCACATTTTACGAAAACGAAACACAATGAAAACAAATCAAAAGATTAAGAAGAAAAAGAATCACATAATGAACCAAATGTCTCGTGTTAATTAAATTTGATTTTACGAACAAAAATTTTGTAAAAATGTGCTAATATTAGCGATATATCATCTCTTTATTGTGTCATCTCATCGTCATATTTATGAACGAATGAATACTAACGCGTTTTTTATTTTGTTCCCGATCCTCTCTGTTATTTTATTTGCGCTACTAGCAGAATTCCACAGTGGAGAAAGTAAGTGATCTTCTCATCAATCTTAGCTTCTGCAGTTTGCCGTGTATATACATCACCCCCTTGATTTTCTTTCGATTATTCTTCCTTCCGTCGTTACACACAGCTATATATGTCGCCGCACAACCCTCTGTAGTCGCTGACTTTTATTATTCTTAGAAACATCTTCGTACATCATACATTGCTCGGCAAACACAGCTCGTTTAATGAAAGATGAGTCATAAAATAAATTTAATTTCTCGAGAAATCAGTAAAACTTGACATGAAAAAATGCACAATGAATGAAATAGCAGGCACGTATGCCTTGTAGTTATCTCGAATATTTTCTACGTTCTCGGCGATAAATTATTCAATAAAAACGTACGTAAACGCTGCTTACTGGGGCGTCGACGAATTTAGAAGAATTAAAAATGAAAAACAAATTAACTGCGGCTTCTGTTTAATAACTTCGTTTGAACAACCGCAATAATCGACACCAAGTGTCAATATCGTAGAAAACATTCTTGCTGAGCTTATGTCCGCTGCGTGATGTTACTGTACATACATTGCACAATTCTCTTGTGAATACTTCACAGGCTTATCTCAGTGAGATTCTCGGCACTGACAACGTTGTATGCGGTAGTTTAAGAGCGACTGAATGAAACCAATTTGTTTTAATCGAATTAGATAACACTTTCGTTGCCTTCAATGTCGGTAATTTGATGCTTGCTACTGTATCACATCCATATGATAGACACCTCACGTAGGAATACTCATAGATTTGGCCTACATATGTAGCCGTTTTATTTATCTCTTATTTTGCCACCTATATATACACAAACACTTGTGTAGCTCGTTGTCATCTCATAGAAATGTCCACATGGATTCGACTTGTATAGATAGCTGTTTTATTTATATCTTATTTTGCTATACATTCCTCATTGTTGTATAATCTTACTATCTTATTCACATTACATTAAGCCAAAGTAATTATATTTACGCACAACAATTAGGTGTCGGTAGAATGTAGTTAAATTATCTCATCACAAATTATCTCACTGTCACTGGCAGGAAAGACACGTTGCAGTCGATAATATCATGATATTAACGCGATCAAAGCGCATTGTCTCTAAATTTTAACAAATAATTTTCATAAGATCGTCATAATCTCCGATTCACAGATATCACGCTTATATAGTACAATTTCTCGAGGATTATGCTTTCTGGCTTTGCGCACTTTTCGTAATAATTAATTACAGAGTTATACAGTGCATTGTGACTGACATTGATGTTAGAATTATATCACATATATAAGCTCAATTTTTTATTTTTGACTGTGATATTTATTTATTGTGATTTCCATGAAATTGTGGTCAAACATTGCTGTAACAATCTATTCTCTAACTTTTTTTATATCGTTTACAGCGGGATCTTTCAGAATGCAAATAACGTATACTCGTATATAAATAAACTTGTTCTATTTTCATATGGAAATTAAAGTAAATTGCTGTAAACGTTTGATAGCTCAACGAAACAATAGCACGCGCGCGAAAATAATGTCGAGGACACGCGCATTTTTTGTGTACCTAAAATAGACCTTGACTGTGTGCATCTCTTGCAAGCAGCCTCCACATATATAATGTAATTTTTTTTATTGCAATTTTTTATATTATTCCGGACGATTTCTTATAATGTGTCGTAAGTAAACGAATGTAACACATTCTCAAAAATCTCCTCAGTTTCCTGGTTTCCTTCTTGGTGGACGCAAGAGGCGGTGCGATGCGCGGATGCAGGCATAGCGGCGTCCGCGTGATTGTTCCACCGCGTAAAGCCGCAATGCCTATGCGCGTCACCTGTAGATATCTGAGGAGAGACAAATTGACAAACCCACCTCCCCTGATGGAGGGAGAAGCGTTGGCCAGTCGCATCCTCGAATTAGGTCCTGTCGGCGCAAAATTCCTGGGGTATGTTCCTTAGATATCTTTCATGATTTTATTTTTCTGCTCCGACTACCTTCGATTTATACTTGTTGCGTATTCTCGTACTAACGATAAGTGTAAAGTATAACTGAAGATTTAGAATAATTTTATTATACAGTTGATGATTATGACCACAAATCCTTTTCAAATGTTAAGAGATGTTTTTGTACAGCCCTGTTATCATAGAAGTACCACATTTCGCGTCGCTGCGCGGAAAGGAACGAGAAATAGTAATTCTACGATCAGACAACGGAGAGACCTGGCGCGAGCATACCTTGGAAGCTAGCGAGGAGGCTGTTCAAGATGTGCTTAACGAGAGCTTTGAGGGAGAAGGTATGATTCAAGTAACTTCCTTTTTACGATTCCCAAGTGATAGGGCAAACATTGAATTAAAGAGCCACTTTGACATTTACATTTCCAGAGCTAAGCCAGCTAGAAGATCTCCAAACGTCTCGTATCGTAAGGATACTCACTGTAGATTTCCCACATTACTTCGCGGTAGTATCTCGCATCCGGCAAGAGGTCCATGCGGTTGGTCCCGAAGGCGGCACCGTGTCGTCATCCGCTGTACCACAAGTACAAGCTGTCTTCCCGCAAGCGGCCCTTACTAAGAAGATCAGAGTCGGCCTGCAGGTATTTTTCCGTTTCCCTTTATCGATTAAATATATTATATTTACATTCTCATCTGCATCTTTGGCATTTAAATACGTTTAATTACTTATGATAGGCAAAGAAATTGATTATTTTTTAATTTTAAAATTTTAATCGCCTACGTCTCTATAAATTGAGAAATTAAAACTTTTGGTTTAAATAGCAAAAATAAATAATTTACTATATCTAATAATATTCTACAGATCTAGACCTTTCCACAAGTTATTTATTGTAACATATAGGCACATCCTATACCGGCGGATCTGGTGGCCAAATTACTTGGAAATAGAGTGGCTGTGTCGCCGATTGTTACCGTCGAACCGAGACGGAGAAAGTTCCACAAGCCGATAACTTTAACTATTCCAGTACCACAGGCGGCTAATAAAGGCATGATCAACCAGTATTCCGGAGATGCGCCGACTTTGAGACTCCTGTGCAGCATAACTGGTAATATATGCTTGCACGTAACATTGTAGAGCAGCGTACCGTCTTACTGGAAAATCTCTTACCGATAAACGGCTGAATTAATATTATACGCCGCATACACCTTTGGTGTACATATATGCTCTTGCCGAACTTACATTGCGCATTCGGGTATCTATTCGGGGATTTAATTGTAGTTTAGCAAGCATGAACGCAGTCGGTAGGCTATCTTGTCTGTTCTCAGGTCGCTCGGGACTACGATCGAACCAAGTATCGTACGTTGCACGAGAGGATTGCTTAAATGGTAGCAGCACTTTTGTAACTCATTTATGTTTAGTATGGTAAACGTAAATGTCTGTACGATTCCTAACTTGCACCAGCGTGTAAAAATGTTCCAGTATGATTTTTCACTTAAACATTTTCACTTAAATGGGAAAAATCAATTTATGTATGTGAATGTTGAAAGATATGTCATGTTTTGTCTTAAATAATTTCTTTTGTTATCCATTATCGAAAAATGTCCCGAGGATCTTCGGATAGAGATTTAAAAGGGAGATGGTAGCTGCATGTTTCATAGAAAAATTTCGTTGAGTATCATTATTGTATACATATCTTGTTGTGATTCATTGTTAATGCTTGCATATTGTTAGGATTGAGTCATTTAGGTATGGATTATCAATTAAAGTAGATAACATTTTATTATACCTAGCCCATTGTTAAGAGTTAACTTTAAAGTTTTTGTTTCAGCACATTCGTTTGTCTGGTAATCGCTTTAATATATTAGTAATTTGTGACTTATATGAAGTTGTACTCGTGATATATGTACATATATATAGGTATATGTATATGTATATGTATATGTATAT